CGGGGGATTCAATCAAGGGTTTTCAGGTCGGTGACAGCTGCCTGTAGAGTTGCATGACGTTGAGGCAGCCGGTATTGAACAAGGAAGCCGTACTGTTGGCTGTCCATCACGGCTTCCGGCAAACCGGACAGGAAGTCGAATGACGTGCCAGTGTGGCGGCTGTGTGCACGGTCGGCCACCCCAATCGGGAGAAAACGAAAATGATAAACCTGCGAGTTTCTGCCATCGAGTGTTTGTCACAGTTCGTTGCCACACAAAAGTCAGCGCGAGGTCTTACCAAGACCAGCCGAAACCGCGTCTGGCATGGGACCGTCAGGCATGCGTCTCTACAGCTGTACCGGGTTTGATGGAAGTCGGACTTCAGCTGACCGTTATAACATTATTTAGACTGTCCACTGCCGTTGGTTGTTTTTAGTTGCGACGAAATTCCAGGATGCGTGTCAGTGTGAATATCTGTCCACATATCAACGCCCAGCTCAGAATCCGGCTTGGTTGGGCCACGTCCTACAGTCACGCGCAGATTGGAATCGCCTGAAAGGGACAATGGGGCATCCAGCATCCAATACCAAGCGTCCGTTCCCGGTTGAGTAGTCCAGCTTTTATACTATTTGCCTGCACCTCTAGACAAGGGTTGCGGAACTCATCGGTTCCTGCGGACGCCGTAGCATGAATCATAGTATATTAAGTGGGCATGTTCATGAGGGATCTTGTGGATTGTTAATACAGGCGGGTCCCCAACAGCCGCTCGGGTTCTTTCTTCGAGGTTGTTTCCTCCAGCACTCTGGCCCAAGAACTTAACCAGAAGGCAGCGGTAGCAAGCAAACCTATTTTATGGCGGTTCACGTTCACCATGTCACAGTGCCGTCATTGGGACTTGCAACATTTTATAAGGCAGTCGGTGCGCCAGACCTCAGCCCTCCGCACCCTAGTAACACTGTCGCTGCCGGTCCGCGACTGGTTATTTGCCGGACCCGGGAGCCTGCTTATTTCGCAGCAAACCTTCACGGAATGCCATTCCACTATCCGCTACCTGTGGATGCGCCAGGTAGCCAGCAGCTACGCTAACGTTATTCTTGTCGTGCAAATACACTACCCAAGCAGAAGAGGTGGCTTCATTCGTGTTTGAGACTCACGCGAAAACATTCAGTGACAAAAAGTAAAGTGACTAGCAAAGAAATTAATTTAGAAAACAAACACAGTTCGGAGAAATATACAGTTTGTACACAGTTTTGGAGGACAGAAGGGCGATCAGTTCTGCAAGACCCTGGCGATTCACTGGTAGCGCGGGTAGGTTACGCTTGATTGTGGAATGGTGTTTCCCGAGTAGCCACGCATGCCTGAATGTTGCTGCAAACAAACAGAAGAAAGATTTTAAAAAAACATTAGTCACAGAAGAGAAGAACAGCAACCAGAACACAGTTTCACGTGCCAACTAGTAACCAACACTAAACCAAAACTCTGAACGAGTTGAGTGGGTGAGTGGGTGTTTGCACCCACACAGATGGGCGCCTTACAGACAGAAAGGGTATTGTTAACGTCCCCAACTGTGTCAGAGCGTTTGGAGATGGGGGTACGACCTGGGGCAGAGAAACAGTCGCGGTCGGTAGCCACTGTAAACCTCCGTTAGGCGGTAATGGACGTCGTGGTTGACATGCTGGGTTTTGGCAGGGCCAGGGCTGATAGCGGCTGCCGCTAAATGGACGCTCGGGGAACCGATATAGGTCCAAACAGCCTGCATCCTGGCTCGTGTTGCGACCAAATGACTCGTAGGCACGCATGAACTATAGGAGAGTAAAAGGGCATTGATAGCAAATAACGGAGGTGGCACCTGTACGGAAAGTCGGATGTGCTGCCATATGCCTCACTCCGACCTTTCACTTGGGGAAACAGCTTGATACGACGTAGCATCGATGTTGCTACGCCATAACAAGACACCTTCCTCCACTTCCTGACACCCCCAGGGCGAAAGGTCCTGCCATCGTGGCCTATCCTCAAAAAGCAGTAGACCACGAATGGAAAACCGAAATACTAGGTTGTAATCAACGAGACAATAAAACAGCCTCCGAAAGGGTGTCTGGGAACAGGTCCTATTGTGCACCACAGACACGTCAGTAGTGTGGTTTCTAATGGCAGGAAAGCGGAACGAAAGAAACCGCGCTTTCAAAGTAACAGGAGAAAGAGCACTCCAAGTAGGGCGACCGCTTTTTACACACATCGGATATGCCTTCCTTCACCATTTTACTTTATATGACTGTCGACATTTTTGACATAGCTGATTCATATGTCGTCTCGTGAGTCGGGGAGCCTAACCCGTAGCCACTTAAATAACCTCTTGAATTTTGCAGACTGATATTGAAGTGAACGCGCCTTCATCAGATAAGGGGGGAGGGGGAGAGAGAGAGTACAGCCATACGTCCTAGCTGTCGTAAGAAAAACGGACTGTGGTATTTGGGTCGCAAATACTGGTGACTAAAAAAGACAAATTTTCGCGTGCACCGCGCACGCCTAAACTTGCATTTCAAACTAGTCGAGAACTTGTCTGGAGGATGTCCAATATCAAATGTTAAGGTGGCAGTCGATGGGCACTTGCAGTTATCGAGATTCCCTTTCGGGTAACGATGCTGCCTCTACCCCGACCGTTTG